AATTTTGTTCTACAAAAGTTGGGGCAGAACGAGTATTATGGTGGTGGCCTGGCTGAGGGCGTTGATGTAAACTTTCTTTGACGTCTGCAGAAGCAGCAGCAGCAGCAGCATTTGGTCAGCCTGGGGCACTGGAGCCGCCTGTCCGAGCAGCTCATCACCATGGCCACGGGGGGGCGTCTTGGCCGTGAGCTCGGAGGGGCGGAGGCTCCTGGTTCCTCTCACCTGGGTAAAGCTGATGGTCATTCGATTTGGGCTCGACACTTGGGGCAGCCACAGAGGGGTTCGGTACAGCATTCGGTTGGGCATCCTCGAACGCATCAGTCTGCAACCTCGAGGGCGCTAAGATCGGACTAGTCGAGTCATGCTCGAAAATCTAGCTCCGCGCCCGGTCGCATGCCCGCGCGGGGCGTCCTGCAGGGGCGTCGCCCTGCGGCGCGCAGCGACGCCGAGGGGTGTGCAGCCCCGCAGCGGCTGCTGGTGCTCACCCCTGCTCCTCCTCGTCTCCTCTTCGCCCCCGCGCTTCTCGCCCTGTCGCCCGTCGTTGCCCCGCCCGTGCCGCACACTCTTGAACTGCTACGGGGTTGGGAACGACACAGGCTCGGCGCGGGGTGCCAGCTAGGATCTCTCTCAGCCACACGCTGGTGCGCTGGCTCACGCAGCCTTCCCGACCTGTACCCCCGCCTCGGGGTTTCCCCCTTGGGCGGAGGCGCATCGGCCTGCGCCTCCGCGCTGCGCCTGCGCGCTGCTCGCAGATATGTGTTTTTCATCTCTGGGATGCTGCTGCATACGGGGCCAGGGCCACGTGGGCAACCACTCTGCAGTTTCCCTCCTCATCCTGTTGCTGCTGCCCCTCCCCCTTGGCCAGTTTTAGGACAGAGAGTTCCCTTCCTACCAGCTCGGGTGCTAGCAGTTTGCATCGAGACACTGCCCATTTTTCAGGACGACGGTACTGGATGTTTTGGTCAGAAGACTGCTGCCAGCGCCATGGGCACAGGTTTCGCCTCCAGTTGCCAGCGACCTCTTGACGCTCCTCGTGTCCCCTCCAGCCCATCCAGAAACGACGCACAGGCGAGCCGAATTGATCAGGGAAGTGTATGAGCAAACGGTGCAACAGAAAGGGGGGCAGCCGTCAGACCGAAGCTGCGGATCAGTCTGAGCAGTCCCACGAGTCAACCATACATTTCCTTCGCGGATCTTTCGACGTGGGAGCCTCTTTGCATCTTACGTGGGCCATCTTGAGGCCGTCTTAAGGACATGTTGGAATCCTTTGGGGCTCTCTTGTGGCTCTCTTGGGACCCTCTTGGAGCCATATTGCAGAAGCTCGATCACATAAGGGGCGTCCTTACGTAACCCCGCCCCCCTGGAGCCCGAGAAGCCTTCTCTTGAAGCCCTCCTGGACTGTTCTTGGAGCGTCGTTCTAGGCACTTTCGGGGCCGTCTTGGGGCCCTCTTGGGTCCCTGTTGGCGCCAATTCAAGCCATGTTGGAGCCATCCTCAGGCTCTAAGAGCCCATCCGAAGCGCAAAGGCGAGAATGCACAGCAGCATTGATTTTCCTTGGGCGTTGGACGGATTTGGGGCTCTTGGGCGACGCCGCGGTCCCTTGGAGCCACCTGTGGGAGGTCTCGGGGCGCCTTGGAATCTGCTGCAAGCCATAGTGCACGCTCTTTGAGGCCACCTCAGACTATCTAAGGCCTTGTTGGAGACATCTCGGGTAATCTTGGTCGCTCCGATCGGTCGCGCCTCCCCCCGAGTACAGTGTAGGGGGAGGGTTCAAGCCCTCCCCCCCACCCGAAGGACAGCAGTCTTGCTCACTCCCACCCGCCCTCCACCACATAAGTAGCACCCCAGTCTCATTCAGCACGGGCAGGGGCCGCCATCGACAACCGACGGGAACCACTGCAGACACCAGCCAGGTGCAGGACGCCCGCGAGGTGCGCCGCGCGTGCCAGGGCACGCTCATCACCCTTGTGAAATATTGTTGCAGAATCATTGCGGGGAGCGCGTGCATGGTCCAAGCTTTTACCGTAACATGCGCTCTGCCATCCTGAACGATCCGATCGGTCGCGCCCCCCCCCCCCCCCCCGTGCAGCCCCAGGGGGAGGGCGTAGGAGCACGTGTCAAGATACCCCTGCCGAAGGACTGGCGTCTCTCTCACTCCCTCCCGCCCTGCCAGCACATGGGCAGCACCCGAGCGGAGGGCCTCAATGTCAATGAGTTCATGAGGTGTGATCCCCCCTCAAGCGAAGTGCCAAGCTTTCAGAGAGAAGGGTGCCCCCCCTGGGGTCCGCAGAGCACTGGCAACGATTGACAAAGCGTGTTTTCCCGGGCATTGCGCACCCAGATCATCATCATCATCATCATCATCATCATCATCATCATCATCATCATCATCATCATCATCATCATCATCATCATCATCATCATCATCATCATCATCATCATCATCATCATCATCATCATCATCATCATCATCATCATCATCATCATCATCATCATCATCATCATCATCATCATCATCATCATCATCATCACCACCACCACCACCACCACCACCACCACCACCACCACCACCACCACCACCACCACCATCATCATCATCATCAGCAGCAGCAGCATCATCATCATCATCATCATCATCAGGAACACGTGGTTGTCCCGATGGTGTCCGCCAGCACTACAAGACTTCGTACCATGACATGCCCCAGCAGTAGGATGCGCACTCATACGACGGAGTACAACACTCCGACGCCTGAGGACACGGCGGAACTTTCCCACGGTGCTGTAATGGTTGTTTTGATGGTGGTCCCGGTGGTTGTCCCGATGGCTGTTCCGATCGATCGATCGACAGTGGGAGGAAAGCGGCTAGCATGTCCCGATGTCCCGATGTGTGTTCACTCGAGAGTTGAGTTTGCGCGCCCAATGTGGATCAACGACGATGCCACTCCCCAAACTCCTCCTCATCGACAAGGGGGTCTATGCGGTGTTCATGCTACGCAGGCCAGAGCCTCAGCTCTGACAGGACAGATCTGTGCGCTGCCTGCTCCCGCGCGCTGCGGCGGACGCCGCCTCCGCCGCCCGCGGGCCGCCCCGGCTGCTCATGACGCAAGTCTTCCGCCTCTGAGTGCTTGCCCTCCCCTCTCCCCCGCGGCCGCCCCGCCTGTCCTCCTTTCCCCTCCCGCATGCCGGCCACTTCGCTTCGTCGTGCACCTGCATTGCTGCCACGCTGGAGAGGATTGCCCCGCCTCGCTGCCGACGGAAAAGTTTCTGACGAACGAACAACGCACACCCATACCCACAGGGGGGTCGTTGGGAGGAGAACTGGCTGTGGGTATGGGTGCGGGTTGTCGGACCCTGGGGAAAGCTCCCGTTCGAGCGGGGACCCCCATCCGACCACACGAACCCATAACCCTCTCCGGCCTGCCTGTGGGTATGGGTGTGTGTTGTTGGTTCGTCAGTTTCCAGGAGGGAAGAAGCACACAAACATAATTCATCGTCGAGATTCCAAAGAAAAGATTGGCAATGGGGGGAAGACAAAAGCCCAGAAGATATGGGAACATATGGGGAATCCGGTTCTTAGTGTGTATGCATTCGTTTGTCCCAGGGTCCCTTCAGGTTCCCGCGCGCCCACGGCGCAAGGCACGGGTCGGAAGGGCGCCGCTCGATGCGGCAGGCTCCGTTGCAGCAGCAGCGGGGCGGCCCTCGGCGGCCGACAGCCGTGGGCCCTGAGCGGGGGCGCCCGCGGGGGGAGGGGGGGGGGAGGAGAGGAGGGGAGGAGAGGAGGAGGAGGAGGAGGAGAGGAGGAGGAGGGGAGGAGGAGGAGGAGGAGGAGGAGGAGGAGGAGGAGGAGGAGGAGGGAGGAGAGGAGGAGGGGGGAGGAGGGGGAGGAGGGGGCTGCCGGCGCGGCATGCCGCGGGCCCCGTTGCCGCTCTTGGGTTGGGGGGCCTGGCCTCTCCCCCTTTGGCGCGGTCCTGGCTCGGCTGTTCCCTCGCGGCACCTCACCGAGCTTTTGCCGCAGCATGCCATGCCTCGATAAGGCGGGGGGGTGGGCCCGCCTCGCCGTCGGGTGACAGGAGCCGGGGCAGAGGGGGGGCGGCGCCCGCGCACGATCCAGGTCTCGGTGCAGCGTGGGCTCTGTAGTGCTTCTTGCAAGGGATGGTGTGTGGGTGTGTGGGGTGTTGGCATGGTTTTGGTTGGGTTCGTCGCCGGTCGGGTGGGGGCGGGGGTGTATGTTGATCAGGGAACCCTGGTGGTTGGTGGACACCTCCCCAGATGGGACGAAAAGGGGTTTGAAGAGGTAACGCCTTAAACCGTTCAGGCCCGAAACGTCTGGTGGGATTAGTTGTTCGTCTCCAGCCTGGCCGTGTCAGACGTGAGCTAGGATTGCCGTGGAGTAGGTGCAGCAGTCTTCCCCGTGTTCCTCTTTGGTGACGACATCGATGGAGCGGGCTCAGGAGATGATCGTGCCAGCGAGAGGGCAAAACGGTGGCTAGGGTCGGGTGCTTCGAGCCGCGCGAGGTGGTGGCCACGGTGTCAGGCGCCCCGCCTGGCCCCTGCAGGCGAGAGTTGTGCGCAGTGCTCCTGGCCGCCCAACGCACCGATGGCCACGTATAGTGTATTCAACCGACGGGAGTGCAGGTGCACAGACGGTTGGGCCCAGGGGCGTTATCGCGCGCCCGAGGGCCTCGAGGCTGACCTCTGGCATCAAACCAGTCGGCAGTTCGTGATGCGTGATGCGTTCCCCTCGTCCTCTGCCTTCTCCTCCTCCCCCTTCTCCCCCACTTTTCTTCCAGCTCCTCCCCCCTCTCCTCCTCCGCCTCCTTCTCCTCCTCCTCCCCCTTCTCCCCCTCTTTTCTTCCAGCTCCTCCCCCTCTTTTCCTCCTCCTCCTCCTCCTCCTCCTCCTCTTCTCCTCCTCCTCCTCCTCCTCCTCCTCCTCCTCCTCCTCCTCCTCCTCCTCCTCCTCCTCCTCCTCCTCCTCCTCCTCCTCCTCCTCCCCCCCCAGGCGAGGCTCCGTCCGCGCCGCGCTGTACTGCGTCGGGCCGTCGGGCCCCTCCGTGACGCGCGAGCTCGGCGCCGTGGAGGCACCGGCGGCCCCCCGGGCGAAGGAGGACAGCGAAGAGGGGAAGGGGGAGGGGAGGAGAGGGGGCGATGAAGACTCTGCATCGCCATTCGATATAAGTAGCACGTTGCATCAGCAGCCCTGACGGTTGACGAATCCCCCGACCAGTTCGAACCAGTTTAATCAATTGAGGGCCAGTTTGAACCATATTAGGCGCCCGTGCCCCCCTCGGGGTGCGTTACGGGGTCGCTTAGTGGGGTTGTGCTGCAACCCTGTTTCTTACCAGTGAAGAGGGGAGGAGGGGGAGGAGGGGGGGATCTGTCTTTTCCTGTCGTCGTCCCTCGCTCCTCCCCCTCTCTCGCTCCTCGGCTCCTCGCTCTCCGGCCCGTCCCTGTTCCGCCCTGGGTTCGCTTCTCTTGTCGGCCCGCCCCGCGGTCTGTACAAGAGTTGCGTCGGCAGGAACTGGCACCTTGTTATGTGTAAAGATGGCCCAGCGCTGCGCACTCCAGGTTTGCGAAAGAAAGGAAAAAGAGGGAGGGAAAACGAGGGAGTTGGAGGAGTGAGGGTTAGAAGGAAGATGAGGCGCAGGATGAGGACGAGAATGATGACCAGTGTAAACCCAAGTCGTACCAACGACGTTGCAACAAGCCCTCCGTTCCTTCTTCATTTGTCTCTGCAAGCATTTATGATCACTGCTGGAAGTGTCCCATTGGAAGACAACAACTGTCTGAGAATCCTGAATTGCGTCGAGACACCACTGCTTGGACTTCAACGCCACGAGTCAACATGACAACATGACTGTTGCGTCCTGACGATCCGGCATCGTGCCAAAACGCATGTCTGGGGGCTTCAAAACGCGAATCAAGATGACTGTTGCGCCCTGGCAGGCCTAAATCGTGCCCGAACACAATTTTTCGGACGCCCGCCATAAGAATCCATTCGGCGCTTGTACAATCTTATGATGAATTTGCCCGGCCCTAAGGCGACTACCACGTTTTCAAAACGACCCGCCGTGCATCCGTGAAACTTATTCAAACTGCGAAGACAAATCTACGTGCCGCCAACGCGAGAGCCACATTTTGGAAACCACCCGCCCTCTATCCGTGAAGTTTTTGCATGCTTTCAAGTCGACTGTTCGCGGCGCTCAGGCGAGAGCCACATTTTGTCAATGATCCGCTCTCCATGTTTGAAGCCCTTGCAAACTGTTAAGACAAATGTGCGTGGCGCCCAGGCGAGAGCCACAATTTGAAAACCACTTGCCCTCCATCCGTGACCGTCGTGCAACCTTTTGAAATGTTTTTGCGCGGCGTTCAGGCGAGAGCCAAATTTTGAAAGTCACCCGCCCTCAGTCCGTGAAAGTCCTGTTGAATCATTAAGGCGAGTGTGCGCGGCGCTAAGGGGAGAGCTTTATCTCGACAGCGACCCGCCCGCCATCCATGAGAAGGCTGCAATTTGCCCGATTCAGAATTTAAAATGGTGAAAGAATCGCAGGCGAAACGCCCCGCCCGCCATACCGACAGGTCTCGACGTTCGACAGAGAGGGGTTGTTGGGAAGGCATGACGGCCAGCGCCGCCGACCCTGACGGGGAACGACGACGACGACGAATGCGGTGGCGGTGGCGGCGACGACGACGTTGACTCTCTGGAGCCCTTCTTGGGGCCCTCTTGGGAGCCTCTTGGGCCCTGTTGGGGTCCTCTTGTGGAACGTTTTGGGGAGCTCCGTGGTCATTCGGAGTCGCCTCGGAGCGGATCTGAGCCCTCTTGGGGGCATGTGTGGAAATTAATACGCAGCACCCCGCAACAGCAGACATGAGTGAAGAGGGTACCTCCAGGGGGGGATCGAGAGGAGGGGGTGGTGGTGGTGGTCCCCTTGTCTATACGGGGGAGGGGTGGGAGGGGTTGTGAGTTTCCCTGTCCATAGGGAGACCCTCGCCTTGTCACCCTTGCCCACTGGGGGGAGGTCACGACCACTGGGACCCCACGCGGACCCCCCCAGTATCCCCCCCCCCGCGAACCCCCCCGCGACGCCCCCCTACCCCCCGGCGGGAGGGAAGGGGCTTCTCTTCGAATCAAGTACAACGTTATTGGATTTCCGTTTGGCTGGATCGCTTGAGGAGGAGGGCCCACGGACAGGGCGGCAGCGGCGGCGGCGGCGGGGACGGCGACGACGACGACGACGACGACAACTCAAACGGTTAAACCTCGCACAAACGACACAAGCCGACAGGGTTGGCGGCTGCAGAAGGAAAAGGAATGGGAGGACGCGGAATGGCATGAGCAAGACTCATGGATGCGCGGCCACGCATGCCCAGACTGGCTCAGGCAAGGACGCAATCGTTCCCATATCCACTTGCGCCCAGACCCGTTCCTATTGAGCCGCTGACTGTAAGTCTCACTCATGACCGCGCATGCTCACGCCCGCGCACCTTTATCACGTTTAGACCACGCTGATGCGCAGACACACGCATGCTCAGATGCGCCCGTGATCAGACGCACGTTCATTCATTTTCGCTCCCCCCAGGTTCACTCGCGCCCAGACCTACGCATACCCAGGCCCACTCATATCCAGACTCGTTCGCGTTTAGACCCAGCCCACTCGCGCGCGCGGAGCCCTGTGTGGACCTCCAACCATTGGGGAGCCCGGTGCCTGTCCTTGCCGCTAAGGCAGTGGCGCCGGCGATTCCGCCGCGGATGGGGGCCTCGACGGGCCCTCGGCGGTTCCTCGCTGGAAAAAATAAACGCAACGCTACAAAATCCAAAAAGTGCTTCGCCGCGCGGTTGCGCTTCCTTTGGGGAAGGGGGGGGCATTGAGAATTCATGAGGTCGTTGTAGCTGCGACGTCGGAACCATCGTGGAACCATCGTAGAAACATGCAGGAACCATGTGAATTCGCAGGGCTTCGTCACACTTGCGGCTCGGGAACCATCGTGGAACCATCGTAGAACCACGCGGGAACCTGGTGAAGTCATAGGGTTTCGTCACACTTGCGGCCTCGGAGCCATCGTGGAACCACCGTGGAACCACGCAGGAACCTTTTGAATCCATATGTTTCCGTCACACTTGCGACGTCGGAACCATCGTGGAAGCATCGTGGAACCAAGCAGGAACCTTGTGAAGTAATGTTTTTTTTTTTTTTTTTTTTTTTTACCTAACAGCGAAGACTGATAGGTTTCTAGTTGACTCAAAAGAGCTCACAGATCACTCCACAGGGGGGTCCGGGCAGGTGTTGGGGAGTTGCCGGGCGGCAGGGTGCCGGGCTCGTTTTTCACCAACAGTCACACACTTCGTGCTCTTCGACTTCCCAGAACTCCATTCCCAGGCCACTTTCTGAATACCCGGATGCAACAGTCACACACTTCGTGCTCTTCGACATCCCAGAACGCCATTCCCGGGCCACATTTAGAATAACCAGATGCAACAGTCAGACACTTCGTGCTCTTCGACATCCCAGAACGCCATTCCCGGGCCACATTCTGGAGGACCGGATGCAACAGTCACACACTTCGTGCTCTTCGAGTTCTCAGAACTCCATTCCCGGGCCACATTTTGGATGCCCGGAGCCAACTGTAGGCCACTTCGTGGTCTTCGAGTTCCCAGAACCCCAAATCAAAGTGTGATGTTTTTTGATTCCCGGCCACATTTTGAATGCCCGGGAGCCAAACCTCTGTAGGCCACTTTCGTGCTCTTCCGAGTTTTCCCAGAAACTTCCATTCCGGGCCACATTTTGAATGCCGTAGCCCAATTTAGGCAATTCGTGCTCTTCGACTTCCCAGAACTCCCACTCCTGGGCCACATTTTCAGCAGGGGCATGAGCACGACGAGGAGGAGGACGAGCAAGACCAGGAGGACGAGGACGAGCAGGAGCAGGACGAGGAGCAGGAGGAGCAGGAGAAGAAGGACGAGCAGGAGGAGGAGGAGGACGAGCAGGAGGAGGAGGACAACCAGGAGGAGGAGGACGACCAGGAAGAGGAGGAGGAGGAGGAGGAGGAGGAGGGGAGGGGGAGGAGTACCAGGAGGAGGAGGAGGAGGAGGAGGAGGAGGAGGAAGAGGAGGAGGAGGAGGAGGAGGACGAGGACGAGGAGGAGGAGGAGGAGGGGGGGGGAGAGTACCAGGAGGAGGAGAACGAGGACCACCAGGAGGAGGAGGAGGAGGAGGAGGAGGAGGAGGAGGAGGAGGAGGAGGAGGAGAGAACACCACGAGGAGGAGGACGAGCAAGACGAGGAGGACGAGAACGAGGGCGACCAGGAAGAACCAGGAAGAGGAGGAGGAGGAGGAGGAGGGGAGGGGGAGGACTACCAGGAGGAGGAGGAGGAGGAGGAGGAGGAGGAGGAGGAGGAGGAGGAGGAGGAGGAAGAGGAGGAGGAGGACGAGGAGGAGGAGGAGGAGGGGGGGGGAGAGCACCAGGAGGAGGAGAACGAGGACCACCAGGAGGAGGAGGAGGAGGAGGAGGAGGAGGAGGAGGAGGAGGAGAGAGCACCAGGAGGAGGAGGACGAGCAAGACGAGGAGGACGAGAACGAGGACGAGCAGGGGGAAGAGGAGGAGGAGGAGGAGGAGGAGCAGGAGAAAGAGGAGGAGGAGGCAGGCTGAGGCTGAGGCTGTGACTGCGACTGCCGTTGCCGCTGCGACTGTCATCGCGAATGCGACTACGACTGCGAGAACAGCAGAATTCGACAACTGGATTTTCATCTGAATCTTAAGGGGAATGCTTTCAGATATGCTTCTACACATCGCTGTTAGGTTGCTTTGCCGGGATAATTTTTTTCTCATATTCTAGACGCTTCGCGTATCCCCACCAGCCCGTCCAGAAATGAGTCCCAGGGGAGTGGAGCTTATGAGGGAAGCGGGGGAGCATGCAGAAGAACAAAGGGCGGGGTGAGCCGCCATATACCCCAAGAGGGGGAGGATGTAGGAGGAGCCGTCGTCGTCGGAGTAGGAGGAGCAAGAGGAGGAGCAGGAGGAGGAGCAGGAGGAGGAGGAGGAGGAGGAGGAGGAGGAATAGAAGGAGGAGGAGATGGAGGACTGCGAGGACGA